TGCCCCGCATCATATCAACACCTAAGCCCCCACTGAGGTCCCAGCGCTGACACGTGTGTGTGTGTGTGTGTGTGTGTGTGTGTGTGTGTGTGACGTCAGTCAGTGGGAGGAAAGGGCCCCGGCAGTGTGTTCTGACATACATGTGCATCTGACACGATCCAGTGGGAAGACACCACCTTTATTCTGCATTATTCGTGGGGTGTGGGGTGTGGGGTCGGCCGAGCAGAGCGAGCCCTGGGGTGCCCTGCTCAGTCTCTTCCTGCTTGTGCTCCATGAGGGGAAAATGGGCGCCCCGCAGCCTCTGAACTGCCCTCTGCATCTGCTCGAGCAAGGAGCTCCCAGGCGAGCTCTCCTTGGACGTTGATGCTGTTCTCACCACGTGTCCGTGGGGGGCACAGGGCAGGCGCCTCTGGAGAATCCTCTGGCTCTGCCAGGGAATGGGGAGCCTCAGTGATGAGCCAGGCATTTCTGGAGCCAGACCCTGAAAATGCAACTTGTCTGTTTTCTTTTTTTAATATACTGGAGTTTTCATTTCTACAGTTTCTGCAGAACCATTTTCCTTGAAGGTCTGTCTTCCAGGTGGACTGTGTTAAATCCCCCTGGACCGCACCTCTCCCCATTTCCACCTCCGTATTTATCACCTGTCCGTCCATCCACCTGTGTATTTATCACCTGTTTGTCCGTCCACTTATGTATTTATCACTTCTCCATCTGTCCATCGATTTATCCGTTCTTGCGAGTCTAGCCACTTACCTGTTTATCCACTCCCCACCTGTTCATCCATCTCTCCACATTCTCCACATCTCTCTAAGATTTACCTATCCATCTGTTCTCCCATCTACCCGTCTGGACATCTGACCATCCATTTCGGCCTCCGTGCATTTATCTGTTGACTCATCCATCCCCTCATCTATGCATGTTTGTTCATTTGTATGTTCATCCACCGCCTGACTTGTTTGTGTATCTGTCACGCAGTCTTACTGTACTCACGTCCACCCAGCTGTCCACCCACCCATCCACCTTACCTCACCTGTCCGTCTAGTCAGTGTCTGTTTACCGCGTGCCCCGTACAGGACCAGTGCTGTGCACATGAGCTACTCTGAGTGCTTCCCGCCCTCGGGATGCGTGTGGTCTGGGTGAGGAAGACCCTCACAAATGAATATATCTTTATAAACTCTGAGACGCCCCGTGGTGCAGAGGACAGGGCATGCTGAGCGAATCCCAGAGAGGTTCTTGAAGTTTTTGTTGTTCTTTAGTCTCATTTAGATGGGCATTTTCTCTCCCTCTGCCTTATTTCCGATACCACTCTTTTTCCTTTAAAACACTTGAGGTTGATGAGTACGGCACGCAGCAGCCAATCGCCTTGCTGAAGCTGCTCCTGGAGAAGGGTTACCTGTACGATCGGGGGAAGGAGCTGAACTGTAAAAGCATCCGGGACCTCGGCTTCATCGCCGCCATGGGGAAGGCCGGAGGCGGGCGCAACGAAGTGGACCCGAGGTTCATCTCACTCTTCAACGTCTTCATTGTACCATTTCCTTCGGACGAGTCTCTGCACCTCATTTATTATTCCATCCTGAAAGGCCATACACTGGTAAGGGGGAAAAAAAAATTAAAAGCATCAGAAGCCAAGCCCCCTGCCACTGAACCCTACGCAGAACCAGCCCTCCAGCCACGGTGGGGCTGCTTTGTGCCCCTCTGTGGGAGCGGACGCCCCGTCTTGCCCCTGTTGGGAGGGGACTGAGCTCACACTCCCCCAGGGACACGCGCAGTTCTTTCCATTCTCCAGACGTTTCACGAGAACATCGTGGCCGTGACCGACAGGCTGACGTCCTGCACCTTAGCACTCTACAAAAGCATCGTCCAGGACCTGCCGCCCACCCCGTCAAAGTTCCACTACATCTTTAACCTCCGCGACCTCTCGCGGGTCTTCAACGGTCTCGTCCTCACTAAACCAGAGCGGTGAGTGTCTCCGCAAACGTGAGACGTGTCCCACGGGCCTTCTGTAATCCTGTAGGATCCAGGAACTCTGATAAGATAGTGTAACCAGTTGACTATCCAGTGCCTATGGATTTATGTTGTTGTCATTTTTTTAATTATTACTTTCAATGAAAATTTACAGAGGCTTTGGATTTCCATTCATTCAGTATTGCTGTTGTCATTGTTATGTGCCGTCAAGTCACCTGCGGTTCATAGTGACCCTATGCTCTAAACCCTGCTCTATCCTGTGACAGTCGCACTGCCTCTGACACATTTACCCTGACTACCCGTCACTGAATCAATTCATCTCATTGAGGGTCTTCCTCTCCTGCACTGTCCCTCCACTCTCCCAAGCATGACGTCCCTCTCCAAGGACCGGTCCCTTCTTGCAACATGCCCAAAGTATTTCAGATGGAGCTTCAGAATCCTTGCCTCCAAGGAGCAGCCTGATATAACCTTCTCCAGGATGAACTTTTATGAGCAAGAGCCTATGGTGATGAAGGAAGAAGTTCAAGCTGCTTTGAAGGAAATAGCAAAAAATAAGGCC